TTTATCAACAGATTCATACATTTGACCCCGAGGGGACCGGAGTGCCAAATGTAAGAGGTATAATTTTTAAAAGCTACCCATTTCTGCAAATAGAAATAGTAATTGCTACTTGCATATTTACTTTTTGTACACAGGCAGATGTACAGATGATAGAAAAGACACAATTTTCAGAGCAGGTGCTTTCCAAAATAATAATTCTGCAAATTTTGCAGTACTGTTTCAACTATCTAACATTGAAGTAACTATTTACAGAAGGAGATATATTTTATCTCAAAAGCTCCCTGCTCCTCCAGGAGGAGGGAAAAAAGCCCTTCAGTTTAAAAATCAGATTTTCCTTTTTGCTGTATCATAAGGACACAAGGGGCAGGGAGAAGCCTGTGTCTCCCAAACTTTCCCACCAAAAGGCTGCAAGATCCCTGCTATGATTTACTTCGAACAGTGTCATGCTTTTCACTCCCTACCCCTCTCAGGCTTTTGCATAAACTAAAGTTTWGTGCATTAGTAAAGCATAAACTAATAACTATTTTTAAATAGTAAAACCAACATTAGCAATTCCCACTAGAGATTTACATCCTAGGGTAACTATTTACAAAGGCTGTCTGGCAATGTTCACCTACTAAGAATATGTTAATTGTGTGGCACATCACCTAGTATATATTTTTTCTCTGCTGCTTTACCTTTAACTGTAAATTTGCTTCAAAATTTTTTTAGTCACAAAGGTACCTTTAATTTTTGTTTGTTCTGTTCTGTTTCTTGTGGTGAAATCACAGCAGACTTATTCCCCAAGAACCTAATGATGTGTCTAGATATTAAATCCTCCGATTGACAGTTTTATTCAATTCTAAGATCACTTTAAAAGTAAGTTTCTGGACACTTTTTTATATACATTACTTTAGATGTAYCAGGACCCATGAAGTCAAAAGGATTATTACTAAAGGATTAACTATCTGATTAGCTTCGAAAATAAATTTTCTTTTTTATCTTACCATTTTCTAATCTTTGAACCATAGCATAAATATGGTCAAAAACACTGCAATTGCCAAGCCAAGAAAATATGATCCTTTCTGTGTTTTCTGTACAAGCTGATTTTCAGAAAGTATTATAATTTGATCAGCCAGAAAAATAACTCAGAGAATTCCATGTAAAACMTCATTTGCTTTTGCCCCTCTTATTTCATGTTGTAATGCAAAACATAGAGACAAACAACTCCTACTCATGATGAGAAAGTAAGCACTATATAGTTTGAAAATGAAAGGTTAGATTGATTCCTGTGAGCAAATCCCCAAAAAAGCTGAATTGGGATAAATTCAAGTAAGCCAGCTTCAAAATCTGCAGAAATCAGTAGGCAAGGACAGTTTGCCAGTTTACCTAAAGCTTTGAATTCCACCAGGATTTAGTAGGTTGGATTTACATCCATGTGTCCATGTGACGTGTGCTGATGAACCAAAGCCACTGCAGGGAGGAAAATTAAATTCTGGATTTTGAGAAGGAAACTGAAATGTGGTTTTAGTACTTCCTGAGTGAATCGTGCTTGTAGAAGACACTATTATTTTTCTATAATAACTACACTGTTTTTAAGCATATCCTTATTTTTTTTCCTCATGCCCAGTGCTATTAAGTGGCCTTGCCACAAGATGGCATGAACAGCACAGTAGAGTTTTGTCAGTGGTATTTTCTAGAACTGTTAAACATTTAAGGCATCATTATTTTATTCAGAGCAATTTGTTATGGTTTACCTGAAGGAGAGCTTGAGATATGTTGCATCTCCTTTGCACTAATTAGGATTTCAGCAAGTAGAACCTAGGAAAATAATTTCAATATCAAAATACAGTGAAAATAAAGTTGTTTTTTTTTTTTTTTATTAGCAAGATGTTAATTTAAATAATCAGTCATATTTTGGTATATTTTTTAAAAAATTTCTTTCATTGGTTTTCCATCTTTTTATAAATTTCTACATAAAATCAAAACAGACAAAAATGCATCCCTAACTTGATAAGCATACACATATATTTCTATAAAAAGTGCCTGAACAATATTTAAATTTGCAATACCTGCATAAACATCACCGTCAAATTTTTAATGCTGAGAGCCAGAGCAGAGTTCTGGAGGTGGAGCCAGGGAAGAGCAAAGAAGAGGGTGGGACTGCCCATAATAATAACACCAATACCAGAATAAAGCTGTAACTTCAATTGTGAATTATATGGGTAGCACTCTACTAACAGTTATTAATAATTATTTTTAGGAGGAAGAATGAAAATACATGGATGCCAGGTAAGTGGAAAATTAAAATTTTTACAGGCAATTTTGCAATTCAATAGATTTCAATAGATTTTTAAAAGCAGGCTGCCATTTTGCTAGTACTAACTAAAGGATAGAAGAACTCTTATCTGCTGTYCTACATTAATTATCTCACTTACTTTTATTCACAGTTCATGAGAATGTCTTTTTTTCTAATTATGTCTATTATTATGCCTATAATTATGTCTATTATGTCTTTTATTTATTTTATTATTTTAAAATGGCATGTTAAAGCATGAT